CGGCGCCTTCACCTGCGTGGCCTCCAACGCCGCCGGCGAGGCGGCTGCGCGCGTGGCTGTGGCAGTTCTGCCGCTCCCGGTGCCTCACGGCGACGCTGGTGATGATGGTGCTGGTGGGGCTGCTGCAGTGGGACCGGGTGCCTCGGACATGGCGCAGGCCGGGGGCAATGAGACACGGGCGCCGGGAGAGCGGCGCGTGGTGGCGGCCGAGGTGACGGCGGCATCGGCGCGGATCCGGTGGCTGCCGCAGCGCCACGTGCCCGGCGTCCGCGTCTTCCAGATCCAGTACAACAGCTCCGGGGACGAGGCGCCCGTCTACAGGTATAGGAGGGGGGTACAGGGGGGCTAGGGGGGGGGGCTGAGGGTCTGGGGGGAGCCGGGGGTTTGAGCATGTTCTGGGGGGTTCTGGATGGATTTTGGGGTTCCTTGGGGCAGGGTTGTGGGGCTCTGAGGAGCTCAGGAGAGTCCTGGGGAGGTCCTAAAGGGGTACTCCTGATGGGGTTGGGAGGGGCTGAGGGGACACTGGGGGCTCTGGCTTGTCCTGGGTGATGGTGGGGGGGGGCTTTGTGTGCTCTGTGGGCGCTCTGTGGGTGTTCTACAGATGCCCTATGTGTGCTCTGTGGGTGGGTGTTTTATAGATGGATGCTCTATGGATGCTCTATGTGTGCCCTATGGATGGGTGCTGTATGGATGGATGCTCTATGTGTGTTCTATGGATGGATGCTCTATGGATGGGTGCTCTATGGATGGATGCTCTAAGGATGCTGTATGGATGTTCTATGTGTGCTGTATGGATGGATGCTCTAAGGATGCTGTATGGATGTTCTATGTGTGCTCTATGGATGGATGCTCCATGTGTGCTGTATGGATGCTCTTATGAATGGATGCTCTGTGGATGCTCTATGTGTGCCCTATGGATAGATGCTCTATGTATGCTATGTGTGCTCTATGTGTGCTCTGTGGATGCTCTACAGATGCTCAATGTGTGCTCTACGGATGGATGCTCTATGGATGGTCTATATGTCTCTCTCTATGTGCCTCTATGTGTCTTTATGTATCTCTATGTGCCTCTAGATGTCCCCATGCGTCTCTATGTGCCTCTATGTGTCTGTGTCTGTATGCGCCTCTATATGCTTCCATGTGTCTCTCTGTGTCTCTAGATGTCTCTATGTGCCTCTGTACGTGTCTATGTCTCCATGTCCCTCCGTGTGTCTCTATCTGTCTCCATGTCCTTCTATGTCTCCCTGCATCTCTCTCTGTGTCCCCCCTCGGGTCCCTACGGGTCCCGCAGCGCCCTCTCCCCCGCAGGCTCCTGCCGCCCTCCCGCCGCAGCTTCACGCTGCGGGACCTGGCCGCGGGCCGCGAGTACGAGCTCTGCGTGGCGGCGCTGCGGGGCGGAGGGGGCCCGGCCGCGGCCCTGGCTCACCCCGTGGGCTGCGTCCGCTTCAGCACCGCCGCCGCGGGCTCCGCCTCCGCGCCGGGCTGCGCCGCGCTGCCCCGCGCGCCCTTCCTGGGCGGCACCGCCGTCATCGCCATCGGCGCCGCCATCGCCGCCTCCGTGCTGCTCTTCATCCTCATCCTCATCCTCACCGCGCGCTACAAGGCGGCCGCGCGCCGCGGGCCCGTCCTCGCCAGCGCCTGCTCCCAGACCAACGGCGCCCCCCGGAGCCCGGAGCCGGAGCCGGACCCGCACCCGGAGCCGCGCCCGGAGCCGGACCCGCACCCGGAGCCGCCCGCGGTGGCCCCGCCGCTGGGCTCGGGCAGCCACAGCTTCCCGCGGCGCAACCGGACCCGGCGCCACGGCTCCCTCCCGCGCCTCGACCAGGGCGGGGACGCGGCGCCCGCGCTGCGCCCCAGCTTCGGCAGCACCCATTGGATGCTGGAGAGCACCGTGTGAGGGTGCGGGGGGAACGGGGCACCCTTGGGTGCTCCAGCCCACTCTTGGGTGCTCCAACCCAGAACTGGGTGCTCCAGCCCACTCTTGGGTGCTCCAACCCAGAACTGGGTGCTCCAGCCCACTCTTGGGTGCTGCAGCCCAGAACTGGGTGCTCCAGCCCAGAACTGGGCACTCCAACCCACCCTTGGGTTCTCCAGCCCAGCTTTGGGTGCTTCCGGGTGCCCAAGTGCACCCCTGAGCTCCTGAACACAGCTTGGGTGCTCCGTGGACCTTTGTGTGCTCCAGGCTCCCTGAACTTGCCCTTGGGCGCTCAAGTGAAATCTTGGGTGCTCCCGGGTACCTTTGGGTGCTCAGACTCAGCCTTGGATGCTCACAGGCACCCTCGGGGTGCTCCTGTGGTCTTAAACCCACCCTTTGGGTGTCTTCGGTGCACCTTTGGGTGCCGGAGCCCCCCTTCCCCAGGACCCCACTGCACCCATGGGTGCTGCTGGGCGCCAGATACCCCAACATGCGTGTGGGCACCGTGACACATGTGTGTGTGGGCCCCAACTGGGACTCGTGTGCCCCAAACACGTGTGTGCCCCCCAACATGCGTGTGGGCACCGTGACACATGTGTGGGCCCGAAAAGGGGATCCATGCCCTGGGACTCTTGCGTGTCCTGAACACGCGCGTGCCCCCCGACATGCGTGTGAGCCATTCATACGTGTGGGCCCTCCCCAGGGCCTTCCCTTCGTGGGACCGCCGTGCTCCCCAACCATGCGTGACACACGTGCGTGCGTGCCCCGACACGCGTGCCCGCGCCCCCAACACGCGTGTGCGCCTCCAACACGCGGTGCCTTTGGCCTCTGGGGGTCCCGCACACGCCACTGACATGTCTGCACAGATGACACGAGACCCGCAGCCCCCCAACCCCATCGGGGGATCCCGGGGGCGTCCCTGGGTGTCCCCGTCCCCCCCCATGTCCCCTTCTCCCCTCCCCCGGGGGCTCCCATCTGGCTGGTCTGGATCCCCCCCCCCAGCCCCATTTCCCCTCCCCCTTTTGCCCTTTGACCCCTCCAACCCTGCCCCCCCAGCCGCCCCCCCCAACCCCCCCCGGGCCCCCTCCGTGTTGAACACAAGTTTTTACATTAAAAACCTGTGCCCTCCCCCCACCCCCGGATTAAACCTTTTGTGTGCGAAAAGTGGGGGAGCTGCTGTCTCTGTGGGGGTGCCATGGGGGGGGACGGGTGCTGGTGGGGTCCCTTCTATCTGATACGAGGAGCGCTGGGAGGGACTGCTCATAGGAGCTCGCAGGGAATCGCCTCTCCGCCCCCCCAACCCGCCCCCGGAAGCGGCCACACGCAAATGAGCTCGTTGTGGCCAGCCATGAGAGGAGTGAGGTGGGCGCAGAGGGGAGGGGTTAGCGCCAGCCCTGTTACCAGAAGACTGCTGATATGGGAGGGGTGCAATGGGAAATAGGCAAATTGATATGCAAATAAGGGGGCAGAGCATGGGGTCAAGACACCCCCACCCCCCCCCATCAGGCTTTGGCCTGTTAATTACCTCCCCAGGATAATTGCTCCCCCCTGCCTTGCTGCATTATGCCCTTCCAATTACTAGTTATGCCCCTCCCTTGACTAATTACCCCCTCCAGGCTCATTACCCCCCTTCTTGGCTTTGTCCCCCCCCACCCCCTTAACTGATCACCCCCTTCCCGACATAATTACTCACTCATTTACATACCCCCCCCCCGACCTTCTATGCCTCAGTTTCCCCAAGGCCAAGGCGAGGGGCAGGTGTGGGTGGTCACATCTGGTCCCTTCCCATGGGACTGGGTGCACTTTGGGGGGGGGGCGGCACACCTCCGGGGCCCTTCCCATGGGATTGGGTGGACATTGGGGTGGTGCCATGCCATCTGCGCCCTTCCCACACTGGGTGGCCCCACACGTGTGCCCATTCCCATGGGTGTTGAGGTTCCATCCGGGCCCCTTCCCACGCCCCACCCCTTGCCATGACCTTGCCGGGGGCTATATCTGCGGTGCCGGCGCTGGTGCTGGCTCTCGGTGGCGATGGCGGCACTGTTGGTGACGGTGCTGGTGGCGCTGGTGACTGTGGCTGCAGGGCAGTGCCCAGGTGCATCCGACCTGCAGGCAGCTGATGGGACCCGCGTCTGTGCCCTGCTCTACACCGACGACAGCGTCTACTACGACAACTGCTGCGGCGGCAAAGCCCTGGTGGTGGACCCCGGCTCTGACGTGCCCTACATGCCTGTGGGCTACTCGGGGCGCATCTCCTCGCTGGTGGTGGGCACCAACTGCGAGCTGACCGTGTGGTCCCGCAGTGGCAAGAAGGGCAACACCAAGGTGTTCGAGGCCGGCACGGTGCCGCGCTTGCGGGAGGTGAAACAGGGAACCTTCAGCAACTGGGATAACGCCATCAAGTCCTACTACTGCAAGTGCAATTGAGGAGCGGGCGTGGGGCCAGCACCAGGTGGTGAAGGGAAGCCAAGTCAACTCAAGTCAAGCCAAGTCAACAAAGGTCAACCCAAGTCAACCCAGGTCAACCCAAGTCAACCCAGGTCAATCCAAGTCAACGCAAGTCAAGCCAAGTCAATGCAAGTCAAGCCAACTCAATCTGAACTAATACAAGCTGATGAAAGGCAACTCCCGTCAACACGAGCCACTGCGAGTCAACACAGGGCAACCCAAGTCACTGCGGGCTCTCTAAGCCAACGTAGGCCAAGCCAAGCCGATGCAGGTCAAGACAAGCCAAAGTGAGTCAACCTCAGCCAAGCCAAGGCAACCTGAGGCAATGTGGGCTGAGACACCCCAACAGGTCACTGCAAGCCCAGTGGGTCAATGGACATCGGCCAACATGTGCTGACACACGCTGATGTGGCACTGCCACCCCCCCTCTGCCCGCCCCAACCTCAACCAATAAAAGAGCTCCAGCAGCTCCCGCCTCCCCATTGCCTTACTGGGAGTTAGGGGGTGGGAAGTGGGGTCCCCCCTGTCACCCCACATGGTGACGTGTCTGGCAGCTCTGCACACGCATGTGACCCAACACATGTATGTGACCAAACACGCGTGTCCATCCCACTAAAGAAGGCACTCGCCACAGCGCTGTCTCCAAAAGGACGTGTGGAATCTTGGGGGGACCCCCCATGTGCCAGCCCCGGGGCCCCCCCCAAACCGCGGCGCTACAAAATAACAATATAAATAGCTTTAAAAAACAAAATGGGGGGAAAAACCCACCCAAAACCCCCCAAGAACCAGGTTTGGGGTTATGGGAACCCCAAGATCCATGTTTGGGGTGGGGGAACCCCAACCCCACATTTGGGGTAGGGGACCCCCTGAATCAGTAGTGTGGCCATAGGGTTGGAGTTTGGGGTTGCCCCACCCCACTTTGGAGACACCGCATGGGTGGATGGGGCTAAAAAAGTGGGGGTTAGAAGGAGAAGGAAGTTAGGGACCTCCACCAAATGGCTCCCCAAGGCTGAGGAGGCCCCCCCTGGCCCCCCAAGACTGCGGTGGGGCTGCTCACAGTGGGCTTGCCCCCTCCCTCAGTAGTACGTGTGTTCCGGGGGCCACCAAGCAGAGTCCCAGCGTGGTGAGGATGAGGATGGTGGCGGCAGTGGCCTCACCGCAGGCGGTTCTGGCGCATGAGGGGGACGATGGCTGAGGGGGGCCCTGCCTTGCCCAGGAACGGGTGCTTCAGCAGCTCGGTGGCCGTGGCGCGGTGGCCTGGGTCCCGCACCAGCATCCGGTCCAGGAAGCCTTTGAGTGATGGAGAAACCTAGGGACAAGGTGCAGAAGTGGTCAGCAGCACCCCAGAAGGTCATGGGAAGCCCCCTTAGAGGGGTGTCCCCCCCCTTACCTTATGAATGTTCTTAAGCTTGGGGGGCAGGTTGTCCCGGATCATCTTCATGGCCTTGAGGGGTGGCTCATTGAAGTACGGCGGCTCCCCATCAACCATCTCTATGACCATCACACCCAAGGACCAGATATCCACCTGTAGAGTGGGGGGGGATGTGGTCAAAGTGGTGTTAACGTGGGAGTGAGGACCCCCCCCAAAGCCACCCTGAGCCCCCCAAGGCCACCTCTGGTCCATAGGGGAGGCGGGAGATGAGCTCTGGTGCCATCCAATAGGGCGTCCCCACCAGGGACTTGCGGCGCGGCACCTCCTTGTTCACTTGGGCACAGAACCCGAAGTCCGAGAGTTTCACCTGGGCATGGGGTGGGAAGGAGGACGTGAGGATTGGGGGGGGGCACCACCAGAGCCTGGGGTGCTGGGGGGCCCTGCTCACCCGCCCGTCGTGCGTCAGGAGGATGGAGTCGCTCTTGATGTCGCGGTGGATGACCCCTTGGGCGTGCAGGACAGAGAGGGCCTTCAAGACGGCCAAGCAGACGGCGGCGATCTGCTCCTCGCTCATCCTGGGGCATGGAGAAGGTTGGAGAGGACACGCAATGGCACCGGGGGGTGGAAGAGGGAAGGTTGTGGTCAACGCGGTGGGGACGAGGCAGGGAAGAGGAGGGAGAGCTGGGGTCTGCAGGCTGGAAAAGACCCTCAAGGGCAGGCAGGGAGAGGAAAGCGGGGCTGCACCTGGTGTGGGTGACGATGTCGGTCAAGGCACCGCCTTCCAAGAATTCCATGACCACCCAGAGCTCGTCGCCCACCAGGTAGCTATTGTACATCTCCACCACATTCTCATGCTGGTAATCCCTCATGATCACCACCTGCAGAGGGAGCCCCAAAACCACCCCAGAGTGCTCACAGCCTTGGATGCTCATGCAAACCCTTGGGTGCTCTTGAGTGTCTTAAATGCACCCTTGAGTGCTCGAAGCCACCTTTGGGTGCTCCTGGGTGCCAGAACGCACCTCTGGGTGCTCCTGGGTGCCCGAGGGCACCCTTGGGTGCTTGAGCCCGCCCTGGGCGCTCACCTCATTGAAGAGCAGCTCGCGCCGCTGCTGTTTGCGCAGGTCCATCTTCTTGACGGCCACCAGCTTGCCCGAGCTGCGCACGGTGGCGATGCAGACGATGCCGGTGGAGCCCTCCCCGATCTTGATGAAGTTGTCCAGGTAGGTGCGCGGGTCCCCCGGGTCCACCACCATCTGCAGCGCCGCCCGGAACTGCTCGTGGGACACACGCTGGGGCTCCCGCTGGGGTCCCCCTGCCGCTGGGGGGGCTGGAGCTGGTGCAGGGCCGGGGTGGGGGGGCTGCCGGGCCAGTTGGGGATCAGAGGCGTGGGGGGTGAGGTGTGGATGGGGGGGCATCTCCTGCCTTGAGCGGGCTGGAGCTCGGGAGGCGTTGGTGGGGCCACTGGAGGCCAGCTCCTGCGGCCGGCCCGGTCGCTGCTCTGCCTGGAGATGGAGAAGGTGTCAAGCACCAACACAAGGTGGGGGGTGTGAGGGTTGGCCCCAAAAGCAAGCAGGGGGGAAGAAGGTGGGAAGGAGGGAGGAAGAGGAGGAGGAGCGGTTGGATCCTTCGGAGACAAGGATGGGGGTCGTGGCTTCAGCCCATGCTGGTCATAGATCAACAAGGTTGGGAAAGACCTTCAAGGGCAGGTAGGGAAGTGACAAGGAGGAAAACCTCCAACTGGAAGAGTTGGATGAGACACTGGGAGGAAGTTCTTCATTCTGAGAGGGGTGGGACACCGGGATGGGTTGATGGAGAGGATTAGGATGCTCCATCCCTGGCAGTGCCCAAAGCCAGGCTGGACCAACCCGCTCTATGGAAGGTGCCCCTGTGGGTTGGAACTGGAGGAGCTTAAAACTTCACTCCAGCACCGAAACATCTCTATCAGGGACCCTCATCCCATTGATCCATATCCCTCTGTAGAGCTTCTGCCCCTCTAACAGCTCAAAGCTCCCACCCAACCTGGTGTCATCCATAGAACCATGGGATGGTTTGACTTGGAAAGGACCTTAAAACCCATCCAATTCCAAGCCCTGGCTTCCAATCCCAACCCCTGATGACCACCACTCGTCACCCATCTCCACTTGGTCATGAAGCTGCTGCCCACAACTCTTTGGAGTGCCACCATCCAGCCAACCCCCATCCATGAAGCCAAATCCTGTCTCTGCCACCAAGAGTCCAGGTAGATCCTCAATGAAGACACTCAAGCAGATGAGGCCCAGCACCCTGGAGAGCCACTCTTAACGGGTTTAAAGTAGGAAGAGGAGGAAGAGCAGTGGCTTGAGGAGGAGGAGCAGCCCCTCGGGGCAGGAGGACACGTTACCTGCGGGCCGGGGTCGGTCTCAGCCCGGGGGTAGGTGTTGAAGGCCCGCCCGGTCTGTTGAGCTGTTTTCATCACCCCTTCCGAGATGGGAATGTTGGGAGTGCGGATACTGGGCCCAGAGAGCGGGCGCTTGTCCCGGGGGGATGGGGGGCTGCTCCCACCAGCACCCAAGGTGGACTTGGGGCGCTTCTCAGCGGCTTCGGGGCGCTCCCGCCGCAGCACCCGCTCCTGCTTGGAGTCCCTCTCCAGGGGTGCTTTGGGATAGTCGGGAGGCGGGCGGCCGCCGGGAGTGGCTTTGGGAGCGGGGCACTGGTGAGCCTGGTGCTGGCCATGGTGCTCCTCCTTGTCCCAAGGTCTCTCTTTGCCCTGTTCTACCTCATTCCCGGCCCCGGGGCGGCTCTTCCGGCTCCTCCCGGCATCTTCTTGGGCTGGAGCTGAGGCTGGGCCTTGGGAGAGGCCGTTCTCCTGGTGGAGCTGGTGGCGGCGGGGCGGGAAGGGGGGGCTGTCCCTGCGCAGGGAATTGGAACGGGACACGGACATGTTCTCAAACTCATCCAGGAGCCAGGTCAAGGAGCCGTCCTTGGAGGCTTTGCTGCCCCGGACGATGGTCTTGGAGGAGGACGAGGGACGGGAATGACGGAGACAGACACAAAGGAAACAAAAAAGGGGGAAGAAAATAAAAATGAAGAATGAAAATGGGATGTTGGGATGGGGACATGGGTCACACGGAGGGGACACGGGGAGGGGAGACGCTGGGGCCACCACTGTGGGGATGAACCCCACCAAAGCTCCTGCCCTGGGTGCTGGCGGAGATAGATGGAGGTGGGGGCCAAGGGTGTGATCCCAGCTCTTGGAAAGGGATCTTAGAGGCAGTGAGGGGTGAGGAGCAAACCCATCCCCAAAGACTGAGGAGGAAGAGGAGGAGAAAGAAGCCTTCCCCTGCATTAAACCCCCTCCTTTTCCTCCTCCCACCAAGGCCTCTCACAAGGGTGAAGGTGGGAAAGAGCTGGTGGCCAACAAAGCAACATGAGGGTGCTGGAGGACACACGGGGATGGGGATGGGGATGAGATGGGAAGGGGCAGCCGCGTGCTTTCCTGGTGGCCACTGGGATTTTTCCAGCTGCTAGGAGAAGCTTCCACCCCTGCTGCTGCTCCTTGTCCCGCATGGCGCAGGGAATGGGTTGGATGTGCCCATTGGAGACCAACCTGCTCATGACACCCGAGGAGAAGACGAGGAGCCTAAAACCTACCACCGCTTTGGCCTTGCAGCCCCAGCAGCAGCCTTCCCAAAAAGGCCCGATGCCGGAGCCAGGGAGCTTCCTACCTTCTGGGAAGTGTGCTGGATGGTGGTGATGCAGACGGGATCTACCAGGGGCTTGGGGCGCTTGGCTGACTCCTCGATGAGGCCCTGCCATTGCCGGGGCAACCCTGTGAACTTCTGCTCGTGCTGGTCGTAGCCAGTGTGGACGCGGTGCTCGAAGTTGGAGGGAGCCGAGATCTCCAAACGCTTCTTCTTCTTGGTGAACATGGCGAGGACCTGGCCAGGAAGGGGGGAGAATAAATCATGGAGTCATGGAAAGGGCTGGCTTGGGAATGACCTTGAGGTCATCCAGGGATCCAGCCCACAGGCTTCCGTAGGGCAGCTTGCTCCAGGCTTCAGCCAAGCCTTCACCATTCAGCCTCCATCCTCAAAGAGAGGGATTCCCTCCCATTATCCCATCCAACTCTTCTCGTTGGAAGCTGCTTTTCCCTACAGGCTCCTGGAGAAGCCCCTCTCCGAGCTCTCAAGCTGCTCCAGGGACTTCCAGAACCCTCTCCAGCCCCTCTGCGCCCATGTCCCAGGGTGGATCCGCACTGGTTTTCCTGGTGTAAACACCCGCAGCCGGTACAATGGGACTTGTTTATCCCATGGAAGCGCAGGCTGGATCCGGCCCTGCCAGAGCCATGAGCATTGGGAACCCCCGCCCCAAATAAAAAATTCCAGAGCGGGGGAACTGAATTGTTCCAGGAGCTTCAGATGAATCCACCACATCCAAGGTTAAGAACCAGCCTCTGTGTGCTGGGTGTTCCAACCGGGAGGACGTCGGAGCTCCCGGACACTGGCATGAGCCAAGTGCCCCAAAACTGCTCCTAAAGCAGCTCCATGTCCTGAAATCCTGGTTTTCCAGCCCAGCATCCCAGGATGCTGGAATCCTGCTGTGGATTTGTCCCGCTTTTCCCTGCCTTTGGGTGGCACTGGGGCTGTTTCCTTCCATTTTTAGTCTCCTGAATCAGCTTCCTACAGGTTTCCCGGTGGAAAACTCAACAGCTCCCGACACAATTCCCTTTCTCCATGTAGGAAATCCCCGCAGTGCCCAAAACCAGGTTGGAGCAACCTACTCCAGTGGAAGGTGTCCCTGTGGGATGGAGCTGCAGGAGCCTAAAGGTCCCTCCCAACACAAAGGATTCCATGATTATATGGAATCCTAAGCCCAGAGCTGTGCGTGTGGATAGGCAGCCAATGGATTCATGGGATTCCTGAGTTTGGGATGGTGGGATGAGCTCTGGAAGTGGGATGGAGCTCTGAATGGTGGGAAGAGCTCTGGAAGTGGGATGAAACTCTTGAAGTGGGATGGAGCTCTGGAAGTGGGATGGAGCTCTGGATGGTGGGAAGAGCTCTGGAATTGGGATGAAGCTCTGGAAGTAGGATGAGCTCAGGATGGTGGGATGGAGCTCTGGAAGTGGGATGAGCTCAGGATGGTGGGATGGAGCTCTGGAAGTGGGATGAGCTCAGGATTGTGGGATGGAGCTCTGGAAGTGGGATGAGCTCAGGATGGTGGGATGGAGCTCTGGAAGTGGGATGAGCCCTGCAGCAGCTGGAAGGGGTTAAGGAGCAGCCAGCGTCTCCCCCAGGTTCCTCCCTCCTGGCTGGGCACATTCCAGCTCCTTTATCTCCTGCGCCGGCCATTACCCAGCTCCTTACCCAGCTCTGGAGCAAACAGGAACCTTCCCAGCACCACAACCTCCTGCTCCTTCCAGCTGGGAAGCCCTTAACCCCACTGCCAAAGGGCTATCCTGCTTTCCAACGCCCCCTCCCCAGCTCTGGGATACGATCCCAAGTTGTTTGGGATCCGCATCCCACATCCCCAGCTCACTCCAGATCCCAATGAGCCCACAGGGAAACACGGAACTGCCATTTGGCAGGACCTTGTTACACGGGGAGCCTGGGAATGGGTCAGGAATGGGTGGAGGGAAGGAAAATCCCAGCCAGGAGGTAGGGAGGAAGTTAAACAGAAAGCTGGGAGCGGGAACAGAGTGGATTTGAGCCGGGAACCAATGAGGCAGCAAAAGCTGGAACAAAGTGGCCTCTGGGAGGCCAGAGACCAGGAACAAGGAAGGAAGGAGAGGGAAAGGGCGGGGAAGAGCTGGAAGAACCCAGCCCTGCTGCCCAAGGGGCTGCAGGAAACCTGGAGAGGGGCTTTGGGCACAGGATGGGATGAGAACGAACAGCTCCAATGGGAATACTTGGATGGGGTACATGGAGGAAATTCCTTCCTCAGACGGGAGTGGGACACTGGGATGAATGGGGAAGGTTTGGATGCCCCATCCCTGGCAGTGCCCATAGCAAGGCTGGAACAACCTGCTCCATGAGAAGTATTCCTGTGGGCTAGAAGTGGAGGAGCTTTAAGGTCCTTCCCCCCCATTCCATGGCTCTGTGCTTTGGGATAGGTCCCAAAGGCAAAGACTTAGCCCCCCCATCCCCTTTAATTTGGTAATGGCTGCCTCAGCCCTTCGGAGCTCCCCCATTCCCCAGGGCTGGAAGCCTGGAAGGAGGCTCCTGGGCGCCGCTGGTTGGACTGGCCCAGCCGGCTTTGCACAAGTCAGCCTTGGGAGAGGCAGCCTCAAAGGGGAGCAGGACAGGGCTGGGAGCTCCGGGAGCTGGGAATGGGAGCCGAAGGAGGCTCTGGGGTGGCACCAGGAGCTGGGGGGAATTTGGTGCCACATTATCCCTGCGCTGAGCTACCTGCGTGGAACAGGAATCCTGGAATGAAAAGCATGCGAAGCCCTGAGGAAACCCTGCTAAGGGGCCTCGGTGGCTTTCATCCTCTTGTCCCAAAGGGAAACTACCGGGAATTGGGACTTCAGAGCTTCAGCTTGGCAGCAGGTTAACCCTGAGGAGCAGCTGGGCTCATGCCATAGGATCCTGCTTCTTCCCAGCCCTCTTCTCCCACCTCCTTCAGAGAATTCAAGCTTCTCCAAGGTGATGAAGGGCTCTGGGGTCCTCAGAGCAGCCGGGAGGAAAAGATGTGAATCCCTTGTGCAGGAAGTGAGAGGAGGAATCCACAATGGAGGTGATGGGAGCCTCCCATCGATTGCAAGGTTCCACGGAATGCCAGACAGGTTTGGCTCGGAAAGGACCCCCAAGCTCATTGGAAGCCATGGTCAGGGACAGCCTCCACAGAGCAGCTTGCTCCAAGCTGCCCTTGGGCATTCCAGGGATGGGGCATCCGAACCTTCTCCATTCAACCCAACGCCCCCCCCTCCTCACAGAGACGAGCTTCTTCCCAAGTCCCCATCCTCATCCTCACCAGAGCTGACAAAATTCCCCTCGGAAGCCCCCAGGATCCGGGACAAATGAGTCCTCGGCCTTGGTTTAAATCCCGTTTGTGTTTGCCCTCAGGACCCCCATGTCCTGCTATGGATGACCCCACCCGCAGAACCCCTGCAGCCTCCCCCCCCTGGCTCCTCGAGGCCAAACTCAACGGGTTACAGGGAAAACCCAACCGAGTAATGCATCCCACTCTTCCCGATGAGCCGAAAGGAGGGAAAAGCCCCATTTCCATGGAGCCAGGGGGTTAAGTGGAGAGGGGTGGCCCCATTTCCATGCTGCAGCAACGGGAGGAAGGCTCCAAGAGCCCCACATCTCCCGGTTTTCCACCCTCCTGAGCGTGGGGAAGAGCCTTACCCCTGCTCCAGCAGGGAAAGATCCCAAAGAACACACGGGATAAGGACGTCCGGAGCCTCCCGGGGAAGGTTTCACCCCCGTTCCCTACCTGTGGGCAAGGGAAGGCTCTTCCTAGCTCAGCGCGGCATCGCGGGGTCCTCGGGGGAAGACGCTGCAGGGACACAAGGCGATTCCACAAGGGAATTCCATGAGGAAACCCCAACAGCCCGGGACTCGCTTAAGACCACTGCTTCCTGGCGCCCGCCCCAAACCCCTTCCCCGCAGGCCCCCGGCCCTGCTCACCCCTCACCACGGGCACGACGCTACCACTGCCCCCCCACGCAGCTCACTCGGCCACCGCCATCTTGCGATCGAGCCACATCCGGGCAATCCGCCCTACCCGCGTTGCCTTGGCGACAAGCACCGCCCCCGCTGAGGGCGGGGATTGGTTGAAGGAGGCGTGGGCGCCGAAGGAGATTGGTGGAGAGGGGAAGGAGAAGGGCGGGGCATCGCTGTGGCGCTGAAGGCGGGCGTTAAAGGACGAGCAGCCAATCACAGAGAGGAAAGCGAGAGATTGGCGTTGGTGCTGGCCAATCAGAGCGCGGAGAGGATGCTGGTGAAGGGGCGCTGTGAGATGGCGGCGCTTTGAGGTGAGGGCGGCTCCGCCGCCGATCCCCGCTGCGGGGCTGCCCCGGGGCAGCGCTCACCTCCCTCTTCCCCCCCACAGACCCCGCCGCTCCCCTGTGCCCGCCCGAAGGATGCCGCTCCGCGCTCTGCTGAGGGCCGCGGCCTCGCTCCGCGGTTGCGGTGCGTATCCCGCCTCCCCGTCCCCTCACCGGGGGTCCCGCAACGTCTGAGCCTCGCTCTCCTCCGCAGTCGCTCCCGGGGGCCTGCAGCCCGCCGCCGGTATGGCCACGCTGAACCAGATGCACCGGCAAGGTCGGCCCAGGCCGCATCCTCCGAAGCTGGGGGCCACGTTCGGGCGGCCGCAGATCAAGGGGGTGGTGATCAAGAACCTGATCCGAAAGCCCAAGAAACCCAACTCGGCGAACCGCAAATGCGTCCGGGTGCGGCTGAGCAACGGCAAGGAGGCGGTGTGCTTCGTTCCCGGCGAGGGCCACAACCTGCAGGAGCACCACGTCGTGCTGGTGCAGGGCGGCCGCACGCAGGACCTGCCCGGCGTGAAGCTTACCGTCGTGCGGGGCAAGTACGACTGTGCCCATGTCCAGAAGAAGAAGTGAGAAGGGAAGGAAGGGGACAGGGATGGAGCCTGCTATGCCCAGGAGGTGGCCTCCCGGGGACGGAGGGAGAGCGCCTCCATTAAAGGCTGTTGTGTGGATGTGGACTGGTGCTGAGAGGGCCTGGGGCGATGAGGGGGGACGGACGACGTGGGAAGGGGACCGAGGGCACCGGGAGGGGCATGGAGAGTAATGCGGGGCAATGGGGGGTCCGTGGGGGGGGGGCACTGAGAAGGGCGCTTGGGGGCGGGGGGGGGTGTCCAGGCCCGGTAGGTGGCGCGCTGGGGACATGTGTTGGGGGGGCGTGACCATGCTTTGCCCCGCCTTTTCCGGCAAATGACGCAAGCCAGACACCCAAGATGGCGGCGCCCAGGGCGCTGGCTGCAGCTCGCCGGGCGGCGGCGCGGGGGTGGCGCGGTGTGGGGGGGGGAGGCGGTGGTCCCGGGGAGCCGGGCGCGGTGCGGAGCCGCCTGTACGAGCACGTCCGCGAGGGCCGGAGCGCGCGGCCGCAGCTGGAGGTGTCGGCGCTGAGCGAGCGGGAGCTGGAGCGGCGGCAGGGCCCGCTGCGGGGCCGCGACCTGCGCGAGATCGTGAGCGGGGCGGGGAGGGAGGGAGGGAGGGGGCGTGGTCTGTTCGGGGAGAGGGCGGGGCTCAAGGGACAGGGGTGTGGTTACCGCAGGCTCCGCCCACAGGTACAGACGTGGACTCGGCTGCGGGACGTTCGCGCCGCCATCGCCCGGCTGGAGGATGAGAAGCAACAAGTGGCCCGAGGGGTGCGGGCCCTGATGGTGAGAGGCAGCGTGCGCCGCAGCACCCCGTAGTGCCCCACAGCACTCCACAGTGCCATGCAGCGTGCCCCACAGCACCCCGTAGCGCCCCACAACGTGCCCCACAGCAACCCATAGTGCCCCACAATGTGCCCCACAGCAGCCATAGTACCCCACAGCACCCGATAGTGCTCCACAGCGTGCCCCACAGTGTGACCCACAGCGTGACCCACAGCACCCCATAGTGCTGCACATCTGCCCTGCAGTGCCCCACAGCAGCCCACAGTGCTCCACATCCACCCTGTAGTGCTCTTCAGGCACCCCACAGTGCCCCATGGTACTCCACATCAACTCCATATCCACCCCACAGTGCCCCACAGCACCCCATAGTACTCCACATCCACACCATAGTGCTCCACAGCACTCCATATCCACCCCATTGCACCCCATATCCATGTCACAGCACCCTATAGTGCCATATAGCACCCCCTGGGGACTCCCCACACCCGTATTTCACCTTTTTCCTTTCTCTCCACAGGCAGCCCATGACAAGCAGACAGTGGAGGCGGTAAGACACAGCAGAGAGGGGGGTCCCTGATCCCAGCTGGGGGGTGCAGGCAGGTTGGGAAGGGGGTTTAAACCCCTGTTTACCCCCCAGTGCCATGTTCCCCTCAGCTTCCTGCCTATGGAGTGCTCCGGGCCCGTGGGCGCCAGATCCGGCTGGAGCTGCAGGAGCTTCTGGCCCAGGAGGCCTCCCTGGATGAGAGCTTCTACCTGAGAGCCCTGCAGCTCCCCAACAACACCCACCCCGAGGTGGTGAGTGCGGAGAGGGGGGGGAGACACTCTATTGTGGTGTCATCCCCGCCCCCGACACCCTCTGTACCTCTCTGAAACAGCCCATTGGGGATGAGAGCCAGGCCCGAGTGCTGGAGGTGGTGGGGGAGAAGCCAGGTAAGGGGGGGGGGGTTGAAGAGGAGGAGGACTGGGGTGGGGAAGGCTGTAATGAGGAGCAGAGGAGGGTCTATGGGGTGATGAAGGCTTCTCCCCTTCCCTTGTCCACCAGTGTTTGACTTCAAGCCGAAGGGGCACTTGGAGCTGGGCGAGGGGCTGGACATCATCCGGCAGCGGTGAGCGCTGATACACGTGACACACGTGTGACACACGTGTGACACATGTGGAACACACATGACACATGCGTGTGCATGTCCCATAGGCGCCTCTCGCACGTCTCTGGCCATCGCTCCTATTACCTGTGTGGGGCCGCGGTGCTGCTGGAGCACGCCCTGGTTCGCTTCGCCATGGCCAAGCTGCTCAGCAAGGTCAGGAGGGGGCACACGAGGGGGTTGGGGTCCCCACAAGGCTTTGGGGGGGCCCCTCCAGGCTTTGGGGTCCCTGCACACCCCTTATTCCACACCCCCCCCCCCCCCCCCCCCCAGGGCTTCCTCCCCATGACAGTCCCGGACCTGCTGCGCGGTGCTGTCTTTGTGAGTGCACTCCTGTACCCCCCATATCCCCCGTGTTTATTCCTTCCCCATGTGGGTCACCCCCCAGGCACCCCCCCGCCAAACCCCTCCATGCTTCCCATTGCAGGAGGGTTGTGGGATGCAGCTGCACCTCAGCCCCTCGCCTGTGTACAGTATTGACCCTGCACGCTTTGAGGACCTGAGCCTGGCTGGGACAGCCGAGGTTGGCATCGCTGGTGAGCAGTGGGGTTAGCTGAGGGTCCCTGGGTTTAATGGGGGGGGTCGGGGGGACCCCACTGATCCCATCGCTCTGCTCCAGGGTACTTCATGGACCATGCGGTGCGGCTGCAGGATTTACCCATTAGGTTTGGGGGATCCCCTCTCTGTGCTAACATGGGGGACTCTGGGGATTCCCATTCCTCATAGGAGGAGCTTTAGAGCCCCCCTTCCCTAAGGGGCCTTTGGGAACCCCTTTGGGAACCCCTTTGGGAACCCCTCCAACCGGGTCCCCCTTTCCCCACACAGGGTTGTCTGCTCCAGCACTTGCTACCGCGCTGAGACAGACACGGGGCGGGAGCCGAGGGGGCTGTACCGGGTGCACCAGTTCACCAAGGTACTGGGCAGACTGGGAGGGGAAGGCCTGACCCCGCGGGGGCCGGTGTTGGGGTGACGGTGGGGGGGTTCCATTAGTTTTGGGGTCCCTTTGTCCACCCATAGGTGGAGATGTTTGGGGTGACAGCAGTCGAGAGCGGGGCTGAGAGTGGGGCGCTGCTGGCCGAGTTCCTGGCAATGCAGAAGGAGATCTTCTCTGAGCTGGGCCTCCATTACCGGTGAGGGCAAAATGGGGGAGTCCCCAGAGCACCCCCAAACCCTCCTATATCCTTGCACCCCCGCATGTTCTGTCATTGCTCCCTACAGCGTCCTGGACATGCCCACGGAGGAGCTGGGGCTCCCTGCCTACCGCAAGTTCGACATTGAGGCCTGGATGCCAGGACGGGGCAAATATGGGGAGGTGAGAACATGGTGGGGGGGGCACCTCAAAACCTGGGAGACTCCCCCTTTACTGGGGGGGTCCCCAAATTCTTCTGCTTCCCCTTTAGATCTCCAGTGCTTCTAACTGCACCGATTACCAGAGCCGGCGCCTCAACATCATGTACAGCGATGGGGCCGGGCAGCTGCGCCACGCACACACGGTGGGTACTGGGGGGGCTGCTGGGGTCCCCCCAGTCCCTTTCTGCCCCCCCCATAACTCCCCCTGCCCCCCCATAGGTGAATGGCACAGCCTGCGCCGTGTCCCGCATGCTCATCGCCCTCTTGGAGTGCAACCAGCTACCGGTGGGTGATAGCTGGGGGGGGGGGTTGGGGCGCCCTCCCCCGGTTTTGGGGTGCGGGAGGGGTTCACCCTGTGCTGTACCCCCAGGACGGCCGTGTGCGAGTGCCCCCGGCCCTGCAGCCCCTCGTGGGGCTGGATGTGATCCCCCGGCCCCCAGCGCCGCGCCTGCGCTACATTGGCCCCAACCAGCCTGGGGGGGGACCCTGAGGAGCCCCCAAAGTGTGGGGCAGACCCCTCAGTGGCCCCCAACAATGGAGGGGGACACACCCTGGGTGTAGAGACAAGGAGAGACTTTGAGGATGGGGCCATGTCCTGAGGACACCAGACATGGGATACACAGGATCCCCTGGAATAAAGCTCATGGAGCACATGGGCTCCTCCGTGCTTCCCACATGTGTTTGAATGTGCACATGCAAAGAACATGGATCTACACCCGTGTGGTTGTGGCATCACCCTGGTGAAGTGAGGGTGGATTTGGGGGGGGGGAGTCCCAGGGGTTGGGACCCCCCCAGCTGATGTGGGGAGGAGGAAGAAGGGGGGGGCTATGAAGAGGCCGAAGGTTCTTTTTATTGTACAATTCATATAAATTCTGTATCGCTACCACCGGGGGGGGGGGGGGGGGGGGATATTGCAGGGGTCCTTTTTGGGGGGAAGCTCCCCTAAAGTCCAGGCAGCCAGAGCAGGAGCCTCCAGATAAATAGGGGGAGACTTGGGGGGGGCTCAGTCCATGCAGAGACCACTGTTGATGACGATGTCGTCGTATTCCTCTTTCTCCTCATCTTCATCTTCCTCCTTGAGGGGGGATGACACCCAGAGCTCAGCACCCCCCCAGGACTTGGGAGGGGGAAAGAAGGGGTTTGGAGGCTAAAATAGGCATTATTTTGGGGAAAGAATCATTTGGGATGAGGGAGAGAGGCGTTTTGGGGTGGAAACTCGGTGTTTTGGGGCACTCACATCGCTGCTGTCCCCATCCTCGTCGCTGGAGGGGTCCTGTGCCCCAAAGCGCCGCAGCAGGGGTGCCAGGCGGGGGTCGGGCCGGTGCCGGGCGCTGTACAGTGCTGTGTACCCCACGTACATGCGGGCGCTGGGGTCAGCTCCGGCACGGAGCAGGACCTCAGCCACCTCCGGGCTCTGCGCTTCCACCGCCAAGTGCAGGGGGCTGCGGCCACAGCTAGGCTCCTTTGGGGGGGAGGGGGGCACAAGCAGAGGTTGGGGGGGGTTAAAGGATCCCCAGGGCTTTGCTCCCCCCCCCCCCTCGCTCTGGCTCTCACCGGTTTGTTGAGGTCGGCGCCGGCGCTCAGCAGCAGCTCCACCATCTCCACATCCTTGCGCAGCACTGCGATGTGCAGTGGGGTGTAACCTGCACAGGGACGGGTTCCGGGGGATGCTGTCACTGCGGGTAGCCCCACTCCAGACCCCATCCCGACCTCATCCCAGCCCCATCCCGCACCGTCGTAGTTGACGCTGTCAAGCTGAGCCCTCGCCTCGGGCTCGGTGCAGGGGTGGTGCCCACTGAGCAAGAGGCGGGCACAGGCCGGGTGCCCCTCGCGGCAGGCGAGGTGCAGCGCCGTGTGCCCCCCGCGCTCCTGCGTCCCCAGCCCCGCGCCGGCCGCACGCAGCTTCCGCACGAAGCTCTCCAGGCCCAGGATGACAGCGAGGTGCAGCGCGGTCTGCAGGCACAGAGACCCTGTCAGGAAGGGCCGCAACGGGGGGAAACCCGCCCTGGTACGACCCCTTCTTTCCATCCCCCCCGCACCTGCCCCAGGTCGTTCTGCAGGTCCAGGTACTCCGTGCCCGCCGTGTGCTGCAGGATGGAGTCCAGGAACGCCTCGTGCTCGTGGATAACGGCCAAGTGCAGCGCCCTGGGGGCGGGACACGATGGGGGGGTCCCCGTTAAGCCCCGGGTGCGTGCGAGGGACCCGGCGTGGGTGTTCCAGAGCCCCTCCCGCACTCACGTGTCTCCGTCCTCCGTGAGGAAGCCCAGGACGTGCCGGAGCCAAGCACCGGGCTCCGCGCTGGGGGGCGCGGCCTCCGCGGTCTCGTCGGGCCCGGGGCTGGCGGGCAGCGGCCCCAGCGCCCCCTCGCCCAGCGAGCCCAGGCCGCTGTCGCACCACTCCTCGGCCTCCGCCCGCTTCACATCGCCCGGGGGCGGTGGCGCCTCCGCGGCCGCCATCGGGGCCGGGCCGGGCCGCCTCAGGCGGGAGCCGCCATCGAGGAGCCGCCGCCGGCGCCGGGAATCCCCCGACGGGCCTTGCCGTGACCCGTAGTTCGCGCAGCACTTCCGGTGGTCCCGGCCAATCAGCGGAGGCGTGGCTCTAAGGACAATGGCGGAGCTCTCAGCCAATCAGCGCTGCCCGCGCGGTGCACGCCGGGAGGAGTGGCTGCAAGGAAGATAGCGCAGCTCTCAGCCAATCAGCGCTGCCCGCGCGGTGCACGCCGGGAGGAGTGGCGGGGAGCGCGGCCGCTCCCTATGGCGGAAGCGGACGGTACCGGGGGGGGGCAGCGCCAGTGGCGGGGCCTTGGGGACGAGGCCGAGCGGGACGCGGAGTCACCGGTAGGGTCCGGGTCTGTTCCCGCTGCGGCCCTCGCAGGGCCCTCCCCGCCGCCGGTGTCCGCTGAGTCCCCCCGCGCTGTCCCGCAGGGCTCCGACCCCGAGCTGGGCGCTTCGGGGGACTCTGATAGTGAGTGGGGGGGGGGCCGGGGGGGTCCTGCTCCCCGCACACCGGGGGTGGGTTCCCGGGGCCTGACCCGGACCCGCTCCCGCAGTGGAGCTGCTGCGGAGCCTCCTGTCCCGGACGCTGGGGCTGGGCGGGGAGAAGCCCGAGAAGGTGCTGGAGGAGCTGACGCTGGAGGGAGTGAGCCGCTTCCTGCAGAGCGAGAGATGTACGGGGGGGGGGGTGGGGGGGTGTTGGTGGTGTCTGAATGGGTCGCGGGAGGGATTTTGGGGGGGTTTAAAGGGGTCTCGGGGGGTTGGGGGTCCCCGTGGGGCCAAGGTCTGTTGGGGTCCATTGCAGGGTCACCAGCGCTGCGGTCCCCTTTATCTGCCCCCATTTCCTCCCCCCAGGCAAGAACGTGGTGTGCATGGTGGGCGCCGGGATCTCCACGTGTGAGTGCGCTGCGGGGGGCGGCTTTGGGGGGGTCCCAGCATGGAGGAGGGGTCCCTGACACAACCCCCCCCCGCAGCCGCTGGGATCCCCGACTTCCGCTCGCCTGGCACCGGCCTTTACTCGAACCTGCAGAGCTACGACCTCCCCTACCCCGAGGCCATCTTCGAGATCAGCTTCTTCAAGGTAACCCCCTGCCTAGCGCCGCCTCTCAGGTGTGTGCGGGGGCCCTCGGGGCCCCACCAACGCTGCCTCTTCTCCTCCTTAGGAGCACCCTGAGCCTTTCTTTGCTCTGGCGCGGGAGCTCTACCCTGGGCAATTCAAGGTAACCTCTGCCTTGTGCCTCAGGGTTCCCCTTCTCCAGGGCCCCCCCAAACCTTTGGGCCCCCCCTGACCCTCCTTGCCCTTCCTCTCAGCCCACGCTGTGCCATTACTTCATGCGCCTGCTGCAGGACAAGGGGCTGCTGCTGCGCTGCTACACACAGGTGGGACGGCCCAGTGTGGTTCCCAATGGGACTGAGGGGTGCCGAGGCGGGCCCTCGGGGTCCCCTGACCCCCCCCCCTTTTCCTGCTGTGCCCTCCCCAGAACATTGACACACTGGAGCGGGTGGCGGGGCTGGAGCCCGAGCGGCTCGTGGAGGCTCACGGCTCCTTCTTCACCTCCCACTGCCTGCGCCCGGGCTGCCGGCGCCAGTACGGGCTGCCCTGGATGAGGGGTGCGATGGGGGATGGCATGGGGGGGATGTGAGAGGGGGGACGTGGGGCTGGGTCTGGATGGGGGGTGGACATAGGAATGGATCCTACTAAGAGCTGCAACACCCCCCCCTCACATGTACCTTTGGGTCCTCCCTTGACCCGCCCAAGTTTTTCTGTGCTCCTCCTGTGTGCCCCCATATTCCTCTGACCCCTCTATGTGCCCCTGGAGCTCTCGTGCCCCCTCATGTCCCTCCATGCCCTCCACATCCCCCCATGGCCCCCCATGCCCCCACTTCTTGCAGAGCGCATCTTCTCCTCGCTGGTGCCCAAATGTGAGCAGTGCCAGGGCCTGGTGAAACCCGGTGAGCTGGGGGGGATCCCCCAACCCTGATACTCCCCCCCAGTCCTTAGGGCCCCCCAAACCTCTGCTGACCTCCTGTCTCCCCCCCCCCCCCCCCCCCGCAGACATTGTGTTCTTCGGAGAGAGCCTCCCCTCGCGCTTCTTCACCCTCCTGCAGTCGGTGAATTTGGGTGGTCCTGGAGCCCCCCCTCCCCATGACCTGGATTTTGATTTGAGGGGGGGACACCCCAGTGCCCCCCCCCCCCTTTCTGACACCCCCTTTTCCCCCCCAGGACTTCCAGCAGGTTGATCTGCTCATCATCATGGGCACCTCACTGCAGGTCCAGCCCTTCGCCTCCCTCGTCAGCAGGTTGGGGACCCCCAGACCCTCCAAACCCCACCATTAATGCTCTCAGACCCCCCCAGATCTCCTTTAACCTCCTCCAACCCCTTTCAACCCCTTCGAGCCTCCCCATAACCATTTCTTGTCCCCACCACAGGGTCCCCACCAACACCCCCCGGCTCCTCATCAACAAGGAAAAGACCGGGCAGGTGAGAAACTGGGGGGGGGGGGGGGGCTGCTAAAATTGGGGGGGGTGTAGATAGGGTTTGGGGCACTCTGGGGAGGCAAGAGCTATTGTGTACCCCCCATTTTATGTGGTGTTCCCCACCAGAGTGACCCTCTTATGTCCCTCATGGGCTTTGGCTGCGGCATGGACTTTGATTCAGACAAGGCTTATAGGTAAGGGGCGCTTGGGAGGTTCGTGGGGGGGTTGTCCCCCCACCCCAGCATGTTTTGGGGATTCCCCTTTGCCTGCACCCCCCACAGGGACGTGGCTTGGCTGGGAGAGTGCGACAAGGGGTGCCTGGAACTGGCAGAGCTGCTGGGATGGAAGGTACTTACCCCCCCATAGCGATCTGCGGGACCCCCCTCCGTTAATTTGGGGAGCCCCCCACCTCTGCACCCCCATTCACTCGCTGTGTCTTTCCCCCACAGAAGGAGCTGGAGGAGCTGGTGAGGAAGGAACATGCTGCCATCGATGCCAAAGCCATCCAGGGGGGCAAAGGCAAGGCTGTGGGGGGCAGCCAGGACCCCCCCCCACCATCTGGGGGGGGCACTGAGACCCCCCCCCATTGACCCAGTGGGGCTGTGGCATTAAATGGGGGCTTCTCAGCACTGGCTGTTGCCTTTTTGGGAGTCTGGGGGAGTGAATGGGGGGTTTGGGCCCCCCCAGTGTGTGTGCGTGGGTGTCCCAGTGCATGGGGGTGACTGCGATAGAAGGGTCCATTCGGATGGGAACCGGGGGGGGTGTTGTTCCTTTTCCTGGTTTTTGTGCAATAAAACCTTATTCTTACCTTTTGGCTATGTCCGGGGGTGTTCATACCCGGTGTTGGGGTGTCTGTACCCATTTTGGAGTGTTCGTACCCGGTTTTGGGGTGTCCATACCCATTTTGGAGTGTTCGTACCCGGTTTTGGGGTGTCCATACCCATTTTGGGGTGTCCGTACCCGGTTTTGGGGTGTCTGTACCCGTTTTAGGGGTGGCCATACCCATTTTCGGGTATCTGTAACCGTTTGGGGGGGGCGGCTACCCTAGTTGAGTGCGGTAGGTGGGGCCAGCGCCAACATGCATCTGCCAATCCGAAGTGAAAGCTGAAGAGAGGAGGCCAATTACAGCCTGGAGTGGCAGAAGCGAGAGTTGATAGGCAGGTGAGTTGGCCAATGGGCGAGGGGAGAGGCTGAAGGGGTTGAAAGGGGCATAAAAGGAGCCAATCAGAGCCAAGGGAGTTGATTTGCGTTGGCTCTGACCAATAGCCTGGAAGAGGCGTCGGGCGGGGGCGGAGCCTGATTGCTGCTCTTTGAAGACGGGTGGGGCGACGGGTGGAGCGCCGCATGGACAGGCAGCGCCTATACCCAATCAGCTCGGTGGGCGGGCGGACAGGGGCCCCTTCCAGCCAATAGAAGGCGGCAGTTCAGTTGCCTGGCAGACACGCGGGCGAATCAGCGCGGGCTCGTCCGGTCGACGAGCCCAATGGCGGCGGAGAGCGGGGCCGACAGCGGAGCAGAGCCAATGGGATGAGAGTCCCGCCTTGACTGGCGGTGGGGCGGGCCAATAGGGGCGTGGCGGAGGCGGCGCGGCGGACAGAGGCGCCATGTCGCGGCGGCGGTGGCGGGGCCCGCAGAGCGCTGAGGGCAGCGGCCGCGGTGCCGACATGGGGAAGATGGCGGCGGGCGGCGGCGGCGGCTCCGGCCGCTACTACGGCGATGGCGGCCGAGCTCCCAAGCGCCAGAAGACCGAGAACGCGGAGCCGCCGCCGCACGGGCCTGGCGGGCCGGGGGGGGCTGGCGGAGGGCCCGGCGCCGCTGGAGCGGTGAGAGGCGGCGGGGGGCGCTTGGGAGGGGTAAAGCGGCCCTGGGAGGTAAAACGGTGCCTGGGGAGTAGAAGGAGATCGAGGGGGGCTGTAAAACAGGGCCAGGAGCGTAGAACGGGGGGGGGGGGGGGGGTGGGGTTAACGGGGTCAGGAGCGTAAAACGGGGTGGGGGGGGTGGTGTTAAACGGGGCCAGGAGGGGTAGAATGGGGCGGGGAGGAGGTAAAACGGGGACGAGGAGGTGGAAAACGGGGCGAGGAGAAGTAGAATGGGGCTCAAGGGGTGAAAAATGGGGGCGGGGGGGGGGGCCGGGAGGGACTAGATGTGCCCTGAGGTCACCTCAGGGTCCAAACCGGCCCGTGTGATGCACCCAGCCGGGAGCTGAGGCCGCGGTGGTGGGCGCAGAGAGGGTCTGGCTCCTCCCTTCGGGCCGTGCCGCTGGGTTCTGCTGAGCCAATGCCTCGGTTCCTAGCAGGAGAACTACGATGACCCCCACAAGACCCCGGCGTCCCCGGTGGTGCACATCAGGGGCCTGATCGACGGCGTCGTGGAGGCTGATCTGGTGGAGGCCCTACAGGAGTTCGGGCCCATCAGGTGAGGAGCCACCGCCAGTGCTGTGTTTGGTGGTGATGGTGGCAGTGGGGATCCAATGGTTGTGCTCCCTGTCCCAGCTACGTGGTGGTGATGCCCAAGAAGAGACAAGCCCTGGTGGAGTTTGAGGACATTCTTGGCGCTTGCAATGCTGTCAACTACGCTGCCGACAACCAGATCTACATTGCCGGGCACCCAGCCTTTGTCAACTACTCCACCAGCCAGAAGATCTCCCGCCCCGGAGACACGGATGATTCTCGGGGTGTCAACAATGTGCTGCTCTTCACCATCCTCAACCCCATCTACTCCATCACGACGGTGGGTGATGCCTTGGAGGGCCTTGGGGGTACCAACACAAAGGCAGATGTGGAGCTGGTGGAGTGGGGCCGTGGCGATGGTCAGGAGCTGGAGCAGCAGGGCTGGGTCAGCCTGGAGAAGAGAAGGCTCCTTAAGGAGAGACCTTAGAGCAGCTTCAGTGCCTAAAAAGGCTGCAGGAAACCTGGAGAGGGGCTTGGGACAAGGGATGGAGAGGATGAGGAGAAACAGCTTCCAGCTGGAAGGGGAAGGAGTTGGATGGGATACTGGGAGGAAGTTCTTCCCTCTGAGGGTGGGGTGACACTGGGATGGGTTGAATGGAGAAGGTTTGGTTCAAGGCCAGGTTGGACGGGGCTTGGAGCAACCTGGTGGGTTGGATCTAGATGATTTTCAACCCCTTCCAACCCAAACCGTTCCATGCTCTCTGCTGCTTTGGAGGGGCTCCCATGGTGCCTCACCCAGGTTCCTCACACCTCCTCCCCTGTCCCCCCTCCCAGGACGTGCTCTACACCATCTGTAACCCCTGTGGTCCTGTGCAGAGAATTGTTATCTTCAGAAAAAACGGTGTCCAGGCCATGGTGGAATATCCTTCCGTGCTCCAGGGGCTCTGGAGCTGCCTCGGGGCTGCCTTTACCGGCTGGGGGTTGCTTTGGCTCTGGCTCTGAGAGCAGTCAGAGATCCCAGATAACGAAACCTGAAACCCTCTTTGGTGGCCACAAACCTCCTTAACCCTCCCCTCCACGTTTGACTCGGTGCAGAGCGCCCAACGCGCCAAAGCGTCCCTCAACGGCGCCGACATCTACTCGGGGTGTTGTACCCTGAAAATCGAGTATGCCAAGGTAAGAGCTGACCCCCCGATGACAAGCTCCCACGTGGGGGCACACTGTACCCATTGGGGGGGACACTGTACCCGTTGAGGGGGGGACAGCACCCCCCGGACACTGCTTCATCCCCACTTCCTCCATCTCCTGCAGCCCACGCGCCTCAACGTGTTCAAGAATGACCAAGACACCTGGGACTACACCAACCCCAACCTCAGCGGACAAGGTAATGGCCAGTGAAGCCCCTTGTGCACCTACATTCGGGCACCACAACCCACCACACCTCATGGCCCATCCCTACATCCAGAGCTGGCCCCGGGCTCGCCGGGGAGGGGGTGAATGGAGGTGGAAAACTGCGCGGCGGCGGCTGTGGGGAGGTGTTTCTGTGTCTTCTGGGTTCGTTCTGTGCATTCCTTGGTGATGGACGTCAGGGGGGGTTGCATCTGCACTGCCAATATGTGGGGTTGAAGGGGTTTTGTGAGGCTGGGGGGGATGCGGGTGGGAAGTGCTTTTGCTTCCTTGTGTCTGCCCTACTCCCTGAGTCTTTGTGGGCTTCATGTTCCCAACTGGAATTACCTAAAGTGGAGTTATGGGGTGAGTTGGGAATGTTCTTGCCTTCGTTATGGGCATTCCCAGCCCCTGTAGAATCAGAAGGGAGACACCAGCTCCCTTGATCTTATGGAAGGGGTGGGAAAAGACCCCCATGCCCCTGGATAGTCCCCTTTGGAGTTGATGCCTCCATGCTGGGTTGGCTGTTGGTGGCCTCCACGTTGGGTCAGTGCTTTTTGGGGGGTGATGGGAAGGAGAAGAACCCCTGTTTGTGTTCTGAAGCTGGGGTGTGAGCGTTGGGTGCCTTTGACGGGGGGACTGGGGTGGGTTGGGGACTTGGGGTGGGATGTTCAGGATGGTGGGATTGGGATTCGCCGACCGCTTTTGGAAGAGTGCTTGAAGGAGGGTCATGAGGGGCAGCTTCCCCTCCCTCTTCGTGTTGTGTAGGGTGTGTGGAGCTGGGGGGGGGCTCTTGGGCTGGGTGGTGGGATGCCATAACGTGGCCTTTCCCAGCTCCGAGCAGTCCTTTTGCACGTACACCAGCGGAAAACCCGAGCGGGCGTCACCTTCTTCCGCACATTCCTTCCTCCACCTTCCTCCTCCTCCTGCTCACACCACACAAGTGTAGGAACAAAACCAAAGTGGAGGAAACACGCAGCAGCCAGCAAAAAAAAAACCACCCCAAGCAGCACCATGAGCTCATTGCAAGGACACAACCACCATCCAAGGACTCTCCTGCAGCCAAGTGCCACCACATCAGCGCCAAGCGGAGAACACCAAAACTAGCCCCAACCCAAATCCCAGCTTAAGGCAAAACTCAACCCAAAAACATCACACACAAGCCCGTAGGAGGCTGGAGCTGGGTCTGGCTCGAGCCGAGACACATTGTCCATGCTCAGAGGAGACACGCACATGGGACAGAGCTCCACAGAGCCCGACGCACCACACAGTGGCAGGAATGGAGGGACACACTTCTCACCACCCCTTTGTGGCCTCCTTTGGTACCTCCTGAGGAGCAAACAAACCAGCAGCGAGACTTAACGTTTTTTTGCTAAGAAAAAAGAGTGTTTTTTTCTCTTTTTTAAAGTGGAATTGTGGCGGGTTTGGTGCCTTTGGACCTGTGTTTGTGACTCTGAAACCATGTGATGCAGGGTCGCAGTGTTTGTTTGGTGGGACGCCCATCTTTCCCAACTGTCCTAACTCTTGAAGCGTCCAAGGGTAAGAGAAAGACAGCGAGATCATTCCATGTGCCAAAACTGGACCTTGTACTATTGTAACCCCCCCCCTCTATGCTGTAAGTAGCCCCCCAACCCCCCCCTTTCCCCAAGCTTTGTATCCAACTGGGAATAAAGCTCTACGGAAGCGGGAAGGGAACAAGAAGAGCAACTGGATCGGTGCCGTGGTCGTGGTCGATGCCTTGGGCCGTGCTGGCTCCTTGAAGCTGGTTCTGCTGTTGCTTTGCTGCCTGAACCCCCACTTGTTTCGGGGGGGTCGGGAGGTGTTTTTGCCACTTTAATGACTTAATTAGCAGTAATTCATGTCCTTTATTCTCCTTTCTGTACCTTAATTGTCTATTAATGAGCAGTATCCCAATGGGGCCTCGCTGGACCCCCATTTCCATAGGGCAGCTTGGGGGAGGGGGGAGATGGGAACAGCTCCTCGGGGGGGTGATGGTGGTGTTGGGGAGGGGGGCAGCTCCCAGTATGGGCCCCCCTCACTCTCCATCCCCACTGGTTGGAGATGGGGGGGATCCGCGAAAGCCACCCTGGGGCTGTTGATGGCTGGAGGGGGGGTCCGCAGCACCTTTGGGAGCGGTGCTGGGGCCCCTGTCATCCTCAGATCCCCCCATAACCTCTTCTTCTCCCCACAGGAGACCAAGGAGGAAACCCCAACAAGCGCCAACGGCAGCCCCCACTCCTTGGGGATCACCCTGCGGAATATGGTACGTGTAGGGGCTCAAACCTACTTTTGCAGGGTGACCCCACAGAGGTGGTGTCAAGGGTGCTCCAACGTCCTCCCTGTGAAAGAGGAGCCATAGAGGTGGGGCTGGGGATTTCCAACCTCCTCCCTGTGCAGGAGGACCCCATGGTGGCTACCATGGGCACTACCACGATGAAGGCTACGGGCCCCCACCACCCCACTATGAAGGCAGAAGGATGGGCCCTCCAGTTGGGGGGCACCGACGAGGACCCAGCCGCTATGGTCCCCAGTATGGGCACCCCCCACCCCCACCCCCGCCACCGGAGTATGGGCCCCACGCCGACAGCCCCGTCCTCATGGTCTATGGCTTGGACCAGTCCAAGATGAATTGCGACCGCGTGTTCAACATCTTCTGCCTCTACGGCAACGTTGAGAAGGTCAGTGGGGGGGGCCTTGGAGGTTTTGGGGGTCTCCCACGGGGGGTTTGGGGTCTCGAGGGGGTGTTTCTGATGCGCCCCATCCCTTTGCAGGTGAAGTTCATGAAGAGCAAGCCAGGAGCAGCCATGGTGGAGATGGCCGATGGCTATGCCGTGGACAGGGCCATTACCCACCTCAACAACAACTTCATGTTTGGGCAGAAGCTCAACGTATGGTAGGTGTTGGGGTGGGTGGCTCGTGGTACCCCCCCCCAGTGCCATGCTGACCTCCCCGTGCCCCCTCCCACCCCTGGCAGTGTCTCCAAGCAGCAGGCCATCATGCCTGGGCAGTCCTACGGGCTGGAGGACGGCTCCTGCAGCTACAAGGACTTCAGTGGCTCCCGCAACAACCGCTTCTCCACCCCAGAGCAGGCGGCCAAGAACCGCATCCAGCACCCCAGCAACGTCCTGCACTTCTTCAATGCACCCCTCGAGGTCACTGAGGACAACTTCTATGAGGTGTGGTCTCCTTTTCCTCTTCTTCCTCTTTCTTCTCTTCCTTCTGCCTTTGCAGGAGTTCTTCATTCTCTGTTTTTCGTCTCTTCCTCATCCTTCTTCTTGCTTCTTGGCCTTCTCTTTTCCTCCTCTTCCTTTTCTTCTGCAGTTTCTTTTGCTCCTCTTCCTTGTTCTTTTCCTCCTCTCCTTCCTTTTCTTCTCCAGTTTGTTCTCTTCCCTGTCCTCTATTCCTCCATTCTTTTTCTTCCCTTCCTTGTCCTTCTCTTTTCCTCCTGTCTTGGTTCTTGTTCTCCTTCTTGTATTCCTCTTCATTGTCTTCCTTTCCTTCTTTTCCCTTCCCTGTTTTTCTTCATTTCCTTTCCCTTCTCTCCCCTTTTCCCCTCTCCTCCTCCCTTGTTCTTCCTCCTCACCTTTCTCCTCTTCTCCCTCCCCAGATCTGCGATGAGCTGGGTGTGAAGCGCCCCTCCTCAGTCAAGGTCTTCTCGGGGAAGAGTGAGTATGAGGGGGCGGGGGGGGCAGGCCGGGGAGCTGCAGGCCATGGCGGGGTCACTGAGCTAGGCCCCCCCTCTTTTCCAGGCGAGCGCAGCTCCTCAGGGCTGCTGGAGTGGGACTCCAAGAGCGACGCCCTCGAGACCCTCGGCTTCCTCAACCACTTCCAGATGAAGAACCCCAGTGAGTGCCCCTCAGCCCCCCCCAAATACACCTCAAACCCCCTCCCTTCCCCCCAATCCCCATTAACCCCCTGTTCTCTCCCCCACACAGATGGGCCGTACCCCTACACGCTCAAGCTCTGCTTCTCCACTGCCCAGCACGCCTCCTAACTAGGATGTCAACAGCGGGGGGTGCCCGCAACACCCCCAGGACCCCCCCATCCCCTCGGGGGGGGGTCTCTCCCCCCCCCTTCCCCCCCCTTGTTTTTTTAAGGCTGATCTTCCCTTTTTCCACCCCCTGACCTCTTCCCCCCCATTTTTAAGGCTGTTTGTGTGCTCCCCCATTCCCCTTCAATAAACTCGTTTGGAAAACAACCTGTGCCTCGGGGCGGGAGGCGGGGGTCGCCCCCCTACCCCCCATTTCTACGGTGATTTGGGGGCATTTTGGGCAATTCAAGGTGCGTTTTGGGGTGGCTATGCAGAGTATGGGCTTGGAGGTCTCCAGATGCGTCGGTAGGGGGCAGTAATAGAACACATCGGTCTCGCTAATGAGAAGGAGGGGATGCTTGCCGTCACGTGACCAGAAACGGCCGGCGCTTCTCCCTCCCGTCTCGCTGCTCCGGCCCCGTTGGAGGACTGATGGCGGTGGTGGGACTGCGCCTGCTGCGGGGTACGCGTGAGTCGGAGGCCTGACCTTAAATGCCCCCCCCAACTCACCCCATGGGACACCTCCGGCCTCGTGTGACCCCCCCCGTGACCTTCACACTGACCTTGACACCAGAGTGCCTTCCCCAACCCTCCTGTGACCCGTCCAGGCCCTCCTTTAGCCCCCATACCCCCCAACCCTTCTGTAACCTGCCCCTATACCCCCCCCCAGGGTCCCCCAACCCCTCTAGACCCCTCCCAGGACCCCGTTAGGCTCCCCAGACCCCCTTATGGCTTCCCCCAGACCTCCTAACCCTTCAATTTCCCACCCCTCCGCCCCCCCCCCACCCCCCCCCCCCATTGCCTTGACCATTGCCCATGCTGGGATGATGATTAACTAGGCCTCGCTGCCCCAGGCCTGTTCCAGTGGCTTCCAGTTCATCTCACAGGGTCTCCCAGTGCTTTTCTAGCAGGTTTGAGACTTTGCCCAGTCCTTTACCCATGGGTCCTGGTCCCTCCCCGGTACCCCCCCAGGCTCTCCCCAGTGCTGGCGCTGATTCGGGCCTGTGCAGCGCTGGGGGGGCTGCGAGGGCCACACCGGCTCATGGCGACCGAGGCGGGGGCCCAGGAGCGGCTGCGCCGCGGGTTTGAGACGCTGCAGGTGAGGTCGGAGCGGGAGCATGTCCTGCATGTGCAGCTCCACCGCCCCGACAAGAGGAACGCCATGAACGGTGCCTTCTGGAGGTGCTCGCGGGGCCTGGGGGGGCTGGGAGCTGTTGGGGGGGGCCCGGTGCCATTCCCACCATGGTCCCATTTCCATAGGGAGATGGTGGAATGCTTCCATGCCATCGGCCAGGACTCCTCCTGCCGCGCTGTGGTTATCTCCGGGGCAGGGAAGGTTTTCACTGCTGGTGAGGCCTTTGGCTCTCTTTGGGGGGGGGGGGGGGCTTGATAGTGCCCTGTGATGAGGGGGGGGTTGAGGGTTCCCTGACCTCATCTAGGGGGCGTTTGGTGGCGTCTTCCCCCTTGGGGGGAGCTGTGGGGTATCTGTTCCCAGCTCCTGGGGGTGAGCCTGTGTCCCCAACAGGGATTGACCTGGTGGAGATGGGCAGTGAGCTCCTGATGGTGGAGGGTGACGACCCGGCCAGGAAGGCCTGGAACCTGCGGAGGAAAATCTGCGCCTTCCAGGAGAGCTTCTCTGTGCTGGAAAAGGTGGCAAGGAGGGAGGGATGGTGGCTGGATGATGGTTGGATGGATCTGGGGGTGTCCCCCTGTCACCCATGTGTGTCCCACAGTGCCCCAAGCCGGTGATCGTGGCTGTGCACGGCGCCTGCGTCGGTGCAGGTCAGTTGGGGTGGGATGGGGGGACAATGGGATCCCTCTGTGACACCGACTCATGGGCTGCTTCGTGCCAGGAGTCGACCTCATCTGTGCCTGTGACATCCGGTACTGCAGCCAGGATGCCTGGTTCCAGGTGAAGGTGGGTTTGTGGGGCCCCAGTGGTGGACAATAGGCCCATCAGGTCTCTTGGTGGTTCCTTGGGTGTCCCCAAGACCCCTCAGATGCCCCTGTGGCCCCTTCTGTGTCCCTTCACATGGCCCCTCCCATCTCCATCCCTGCAGGAGGTGGACATTGGCTTGGCAGCCGACGTGGGCACCCTGCAGCGTCTCCCCAAGATTGTGGGCAGCCAGAGGTGAGTTGTGGGGACACCAAAGTGGGGGGACGTGGGGACACCAAGAGAAGAGTTCCCCCCCGTCACCTCACAAGCCCTTTTCCTTCCCAACAAGCCTGGTCAACGAACTGGCCTTCACCGCCCGCAAGATGATGGCCCCCGAGGCGCAGAGCTGTGGGCTGGTGAGGTACTGCAGCCCCAGGCTGGCCCCTGGGTGTCCCCTGGGTGTCCCTCAGTGTCCTCCATGTCCCGATGTGTCCCCCCCCGTGCAGCCGCGTGTTCCCGGACAAGGGCTCTGTGGTGCAGGCGGCCATAGCAGTGGCCGAGGCCATCGCTGCCCGTAGCCCCGTGGCTGTGCAGGGCACCAAAGAGAACCTGCTGTACGCCCGGGACCACTCTGTGCCCGAGAGCCTGCGCTACATGGTGAGGAGGATGGGTTACCCCTGTGGGGATGGGTCACCCCTCCATGGGTTGGCGTCAGCCCCGGGCAACCACAACAGCCCCAGCTCAGCGCTGTTGCCATCCCACGTCCCATCTTCATCTCCACGGGTCTCCTGTCCCCATTGTTCCCATGCCTGAGGGTGTCCTGTCCCCATTGGCATGCCATTCCTAAAGGTGTCCTGTTCCCGAGGGTGTCCTGTCCCTGTCCCCCTTGCCATTGGCATCCCATTCCTGTCCCCAAGGGCATCCTGTCCCCGTTCCCAAGGGTGTCTCATTCCCAAGGGTGCCCCCTCTTGTCTCCATCCCATCCGCAGGCCACCTGGAACATGGGAATGCTGCAGAGCCAGGATGTGGTCACTGCAGCTCAGGCAGCCATGGAGAAGAAGGCCCCCGAGGGTGTCCCATTCAGCAACCTTTAGGGACCCCGTGGGGGAACCCCAGTAAACCTGCTTGGACCCATGCCTGCCTCTTCCGGGGGTCTTGAGGGGCCACGGGGCTGTTGTAGTGCTGGGGGTGTCCCCAGGGTGCTGCCATGGGGTGTTCACAGCATGAGGTGTAGGTGGCAAAGCCAGGGTGGATTACCACGGTGGTGGCACCATTCCAGAGCTCACCATGTGTAGGTGATTCCCAGCACCAGCTTTCTGTCCTGGCTCCTTAGGCTTAGGAGCAGGGCATGGATGTTTGCCCTTTGGGATCTGGTGGTTTGGGGGTAATTTGGGGAGTTTGGGAGCATTACAAGGTGGTTTGGGGGCTTTTCTGGAAGGTTTGGAGCTGAGTTTGGGCCAATTTGGGCTGTTTGTGCAAAATAGGAGGTAATTCCTGCAGTTTGGGGATATTTGGAGCTGCTTTGGGGAATTTGGGGCTATTTGGGGGCTGTCTTAGGACAATTAAGGCAACTTTTGGAGTCATTTGAGCTGATTTGAGGCAATTTGGGTGGGGTTTTGTGCAGTTTCGGGGCATTCCAGTCTGTTTTGGGCTATTCTGGGACACTTTCAGCTCCTTTTGGGGTATTTCAGGCTTTTTGAGGGCAATTTGGGTAGGTTAGGGGGTGCTTGGGGTGGGTTTGGGGCCTTTCTGGCTGCTTTTAGGGACATTGGGAACACGGGGGCAGTTCGGGGTCAATGTGGGTTGGTTTTTGCTCTTTGGGGGCAATTCAAGCTGGTTTTGGCTGTGTTTGGGGCACTTTGGGTGGGTTTGGGGGCAATTCCGGCCGGTTTCTGTAGAAGCGGGATGCGACGGAATCAACGCGCAGGTTTCACTCAGGTCCGGCTTTCCCGTCATGCACCAGCCTCGGGGGGCGCCGCGGGCTTCAATCAGGTCGGACCCAGCCTCGCTTCGGCTCCGCCCACCCCGCTCCGCTGGGCCCTAGCGCCCGACCGCAGGACGTCGAATCCCGCAATGAGCTGGGATGGAAGCAGCGTTCTTCCCAATGTTCCATCTCCGTCTCCCCTCTGGCAGGTTGAAGCCATTCCCCCTTGTCCTGTGCCCCCATCCCTTGTCCAAAGCCCTTCTCTAGGCTGCCCCAGCACAGCTGTCTCAGCCTGAAGCCAGAGCAGATCGGCTCCAGCCCTCGCAGCAGCTCCGTGGCCTCCTCTGGACTCGCTCCAACAGCTCCATGTCCTGGGGAGCTCTGGGGCACCCCAAGCCCCACCCCTCAAGCTGGTGGGGCTGTTGTGGAGCTCCCACTGTGGAGGCAATGCTTTTCCCATATGGATGAGGAATTGGGGGGGGGGGGGGGGGGGGGAACGACACGACGACATGGAAGGGGGTGACGCAGCAGTGGGGACATTCAAAGCCATGCCAAAGACCAGGAAGGAGCAAGGGGATGCCACAAGAAGTGACATTTATTAGAAGGGGAACGACACTGGTGGCTTATAATGGTTGGATTTGGCCACAGCTTGTCCTTCTTCCAACATAAGAGTGGGAAAAGGCGTGGGGGGAGTTAAAGTCAGCTTCTGGGGGAGTCTTTGGTGTCCCGAACTCATAGGAGATGATGAGAAAAGGTACCCCCTGGGTGCCCAAAACAGGCCCCTGGGGGTGTTAGAGAGGGTGAAGTTTTTACAATAAAATAATCATATAAAATAGTAAAATGATTATATCTGAGAAATTTATAAATCAATAGTGAGGCTTTGTATATTAGAAGATGTTGTAACTTTGCCGTTTTGTATCATAGTTACTCTAACTAAATGTTACAATGGTAGTCTTGGTAGCAAGAGCTAACATAACTGCATATGGTGAGGGGAGTATGGGTGTATGTATTGTAAAACTCTACCCAAGCAGAACCTAAGTTTAAGATAGCCAAAAAGGGCATACCAGAAGCATCCTGGTGAAGATAAGAGAATGCTAACGTCCACAAGACGATTGGGACCTAGCCAAGTAGAGAAAAGGTGAAGAGGACAACCTGAGGAAGACTCCTTACTTCATCAGGGCGACCACCAGAGGGGGCTGCGCAAGCGCAAAGGAGGCTGAT